AGAGGAAGAGGGGCCCTGAAAAAACCAGGGAGAAGCACCAAGGTGGTGAGAAGCTCGCACGCCGCTGAGGGAAAACCCTAGCGGCGGCGAGAGAAAATAAACTTAAGAATGCAATTAGAGCTAGGCATTCCCGATGACTATTCATTTTAAATTGATTATTACTTCTTAATTTTTCTGTTTTAGAATAATAAATATTTTTTATTTAAAATATATTTCAAATTAATGGTCATTTTTCCTATTTTAAGGGAGTCATTTTTTTTCTATTTTAATCTTCTACTTCTCATTCAACTTTAATCATCTATTTTTTTATTAAAATAATTATTTATTTTTATTTATTTTTTAAGAGTAAAATAAATAAAAATAGAAATTATTAAGGATAAAATAAAAAAACGTTTGTTATACTAAAATGAAAATAATATTAGTATGTCAAAACTTTCAAACAGTTGGACTTCGACTCTCCTCTACGCGACGAGAGTCAGTACCCAAGCAAGGTTAAACAAAGTTCTAAATATATGTTGAACTAACCAACCTAATACGCTGAGATTTATTTAATTTTCATAAAAGCAGCTAGTATTTCGAGGGAGCGTGTTGGTATTAACGTTGTGCAACGTTGAGGGTCTGTCCAGAATGTTAGGTTTGCTTGGTCTCTCTTTCTTTTTCTTTTTCTTTTTTTCTTTTTTTTGGTAAATTTTGCTTGGTCTCTTTGAATCTGAATTGTTTTGAACCCAAAAAAAAAAAAAAAATCATGTTTTAAAGGTCAAAAACTTTTGAAAGGAAACTATTATTCCATTGAATTGAGTATCCACAATGAGTTGGGATCAATATTTCCACTTGAACAGTTTAATGCAAATGATTTTTTTTTATTACTTTTCAGTATCTAGAAGTTATATTGTATTCTGATTAATTTAAAATTGACTTGTATCAGATTCCATAAAAGAAAAATTTATCTAATATATGTTTCTTTATTTATAAGATTCAAATTCAAAACATTATACTTAAAAAAATTGAGTTCTTTTTATTCGGATTCATAAATTATTAGTTTAATGTAAATTAGTGATTTGACTAACCTGCTGTTGCATGATATATATTACCAAAGTACAGGGGATAATTAGCTGTCAAAGTTATAGATGCAGGGGTCCCAATGATATAGATCCTTAACTACAAAAGGTGTGTTTGCTGTTGGTGTGATATTTTCTGCCTTTGTTTGCCTGTTTGTAGTTGGACTACCATGGCTTCCCAAGTCAGGGCAGAGGGCAACATGATCAACTCTGTTGTATCAAAGATTCAGAGTGATACTTGTGTTCTGTCCCTTGTTCACGTTACAGGTCTTCTAGCAATAGAAAGTTGACACCTCAGAACTTTTCACGAAGTGTTATACAGAACTATCCTATTGAGTCTGCATAGATCAAACCTTTTATTAGTTAGGAATACCTCATCACACATGGGTATCTTCATGACACACTAAACTTTCTTCAGGCACATTTGACCTTTGGGAAATTAATGATTTGGAGCCGTGATTGGTGTGGGCCTTTAACCAGTTAGAGACTGCCACTTAAAACCCATGGAGGAGAGGACATCTCTCACCAATGATATTTTGGGGTTATTTTACTTGTTTTAGCATTTACATAGAGCTTTGATTAATTTAAGCACTGGCAATTTCTCAATCTAAAAATTCACATTTGAGAGTTGAAACTAACCTCATTGGACCTTCGTGCTCTTCTGGAAATCCAACCCAACGTAGTTCATGCATCAACATGAGGAAGAGAGATTCTTGTTCTTTCATAGTATGAAGAGTGAAGGGTTTGGACTCAGGTTTTTGGGTTCAAATATAAATAGGCACACAAGAAAGAGAGAAATTCTTCATTGAAGAAATCAGTTCATTGAAGTCTACACAATTCACTGACATCTACAAAAGCACAAGTTTACATCTTCCTTGGATCCAATGTTTTCACAGAAATGTACGGAATGAGAAGAAAAGACTGAATATAAGATGCACAATTGTACAGTTGTTGCTGACCTGAAGTTTCATCAGGAGAATGGTTGAGGTAATACTAACCTTAGCATGATGGACGTTGTACAAGATTCTTCAAGGTGATGCATAGTGGATGGTTTACCAGAGCAGCCAGCTGATAACCTTTGATGCTCTGCCAATGTATCCGCAGCTGTGATCATAGGAAGCTCTGATAACTTTTCTACACTTGCATTCATTTCGTTTGTTGAGAGAAGTGTCAAAAAATTTCTAAGAGCCTCCTTCATCCAATCATACCGGCAAAATTTAAATGCCTCTTCTGTGGTAAGCTGTAGAATATAAAAATGATAGACGTTAATAGATCACTAGTAATCTTAGAAAGTTCAAATGCATATATATGACCATTACTTTGATGTAAAGAAGTGGGCCATATTTATATCAGAAGACTGTTCTTCCAAACATGTTATGACTTAAAAATTGTCAAGAAACATTTACTCTCAAGCATTGTTACATTGTTAACCTTGAAAGCAAGGATAGGAGATTCTACATTATTAAGCCAATAGACAAGACGTGGCTCAAAATGTTTGCAGTTTACGTAATCATGTGAGATTCTAGATTTTCATTGAACTTTATTACTGACCCATTTCCTCTTGTAGCTCTCTTGTTCAGGCCATGAGTCAAGTTCTTCAGTCACCTCCAGAGTAAACATGTAACCTCTGCAACCACCTTCCAGGCTACAGCTATCCTGTCTGCTCTTGCTCCTAAACTCCCAGACTCCAAGTGGTTTTTCCTGAAAGAAAATACCACTACTGATGAATCAACACAATCACACAAAAGAGATGTGGTTTAGCAGAATTACATAAAAAGTCAACATTAAAACATGAAAAATTGTCATATGGCAGATGGCACAATATTATAACGAGAGAAACCATCACATGGCAGATGACACTTATCAGCACTGACATTAAGCAACAAAGCAGCATTTATGAGCTTGTTAACACTGGGACAAAAACACCAGAGAAGAATGTCGGTCCTAACACATATGTATATAAATGCCTAAGAGATTCCTAGATTTTATATCATATCCACTTTTAATTCTGATATATGGAAGGGAAAATTTCAGAGTATTGACCCAGTTTTCACACTGTATAGGAACTTAACTATGCTGCTGGCTTTAACTGAAAGGGCAAAGTTCAGCAGTATATTACATGGATGAGAAGGCCATCCATGTTTCATCAGAATATAGTTGCAAGGACTTCTTCAGAAACAGAAACCAACATCTTTTCAAATATAGATAAACCCTAATTCATGAAAAGTACATTTTCATTAATCTGCCATTAATTGATTTCACCAAATCATGACTGATTCCAACTGACAGGTCAAGCTAAGTAAAGCAGCAATCCACCAGTCACTCCATAAGCATTAACCACATACCAAAAGCATGAAAAGTAGCCCATTTCTGAGTCAGAATAGAACTATTCTTTGGACTAATGTCTGGGTTTGTTCTTTTAAAAAGAAGTTTAATCTTTTTCCTAGGCAGGAAGGGAACTGAAGTCTAGACTGAATATATCCCTATCTTTTACATCCTTAGCCAATATCCTAAGGCAGTTCAGAGAAACATAATAAACAAAACAAAAATGTGCCAAATTATATTTCATTGTTAAATAAAAGTGAGAGAGATAATTCCAGAATCCCCATGAATATTAAATTATTTCTCTGCTTGTTGATAACATATGAGCATCCAAGCACAGGAGATCATATGGTACTTAGTAAAGATTAGAGACCTACACTAAGTATTCCTTTGACTCCAGCTTCCTCCAAGGCTTCACGGCATGCAGCTTCATAAACAGTCTCGTCATCCTCCCATCCACCCTGAGAATCACATAAAGGTTCCGGTGCTAACATCAAGATCTCCCTTCACAAGATTATATCATATCACATAGCATAAAAAAATGAGAGGGGAGACAGGCAATACCTTAGGGAATACAAGATCATCGCGATTTGGTGTAGATATCATAAGAACACTAAGCCTGCTCTCAAAATTAGTATTCTGATTTTCAACATCCTTCTCAATCTTGTAAGGAATACACCTAATGTTTGCACAACAAAATAAATGTAAGTTTATAATTGGTAAAGAAGCACTTAATCTAGTACCTTCGAAACTAGAAAGAACAAAATAGAATTTGATTACAAATCCAGAAACCTAATGCCAGTGCAGTTCACGCTTTGAAGCACACATCACAAGTAGTACATTTGCACTCTCTGCATAGGGAAGGTGGGATGGTTAAGCTCAGGCTTTAGATGGGAATTAGGTGATGGAAGAGAAATTAGATTTTGGAAGGATGACACTCTCTGCAGATAAAGAAGGCACAACTGATGTCAGTGGGAAAATGGTTCATGGGGATGGAAACTCAGATGGAGACAGTAGCTATTTCAATGGGAGCTGGACCTTGAGGAAGAGATATTGAAGCTGTTAAATGGTGGGAGGTGGCCAGCCAAAACAGGAGAAGGGAGATACATGGGTATGGAAGTTTGAGAAGAATGGCCTTTATACTGTTAAGTCTGGTTATGGCATCTTGTTACATGTAAATCCAGCAAGTAACAGAAAGAATTTGGGAGTCCTTAGTTCCATCAAAGGTATGTGCTTTCTCATGGCAACTTATACAAGTTAGGATTCCTACAAGGGAAAATTTAATTAAAAGAGGTATTGTGCTTGAAGATCATTCTGCCATTTGTGGTTGATGTGGGCAAAAAGTGGAAGAGTCCAGCTACTTGTTCCTTGTGAAACAAATTCTAAACTGTGGTCGAGTTGTTTTGCTTGGTGGGTCTATATTATGTTGTGTCAATTTCATGTTATGAGCTTTCAACCAGCATGTGTGGTCTGGTGGTCCTAAATTAATTAAGAAAGGGTGGAATGTGATTTGGTATGCTGTCATATGGAGTATTTGGCTAACTAGAAATGAGTAAATTTTTAGAGGGTTTGTTATTGATAAGACAAAACTGTTTGAGATGGTTCAATTATGATCTTTCTACAGGATCACAGGTACAATAGGAAATGGTAGCTTCTCCTTTGATAAATGGCCAAGGAGTCCAAGGGAGTGTCACCTGTTAATGAAGAGAAGATTTTCTTGTGAAGAGATGGGAATCATTGATGCAGATTAGGACATCACGACTATAAGAGGAAAAATAAAGGAATGAGGGTAGCCTAGAGCTTTCTTTATGTATGCAAACTGGCCTAGCTTTTACTTTGTAAAGAATTTATGGACTTTGTATAAGTGTTGGAGTACTTGTACTCCGTTAAATAAAAAAGAGAGTAGATTTGCATGTTAAGAGTTTATTAGAATGATAAATAATAATAATAATGATAATAAAAGATGCTGCTTCAATTAAAACAGCTAATAAGTACCTCTCAACTAGGAAAGAGGTGCTTTTATGCAAGCTGACTAAAATTGTAAATTTCTAATTATTTGTCAATTCAATGAATGCCAGCAACTTTATCAGAAAAACAAGTTTCACATTTTCCAGTTATTATAATTTAAGCATGAAAAGATGCAATTTTGTCTACTATAGTCTAGAACAGTAAAAACAAAGCCAGCCAGCCAACTTCATTGTTTGATTCAACTCAGTGTGATGGTGATTATCCTGCTTTGTGGCCAATCAATAATGCAATTCAGGTAAGATATAAAAGAAAAAAGAGGGGACACAATCAAGATTCTTCCTGCATTGTTAAAAAATGAAATTTACAATTTGAAAACGACTCCAAGGTTTTCCTTTCAATGACATCCTCATATTAAGGGTGAGTGGGTAGATATTAAAAGTATGTGATATAAAGTCAATAGCAGGGTCCATCTCTGGTTTTAGGGACCATCACAAATTAATGTACGCATGTGGGATTTAAGCCCCTTCTTCTATGAATAGGCCAAAAGCCCATCATGTTAACCACGCAATTTCTTTTAGTACAGTACATATGAGACTGTGAAGAAGGAAGGTGGACATTTAACACCAGTTAGGTTAAGGCTATATCATTATTAGCTTCTAGTTCTTGTTATGAAGACACTTAACAAGAATCATATGGTCTTCCCTCTAATTGTTAACAGTTCCGGGCAACTGTCAAGACAGGATTTGGACTATTATTCACTCTATATTATTGTGCTAAAAAAATAAATTGATTCCCATAGTAACTGGGGGAGAATCAATAGCATTGCTTAAACTTTCAGCAGAACTACAGAACAGAATCTTAATTTTAACATGCAAGAGATAAAAGGGATGAGATTTATGAGAAATTTCATCCCAGTTAAAGATTATTATTATTATTATTTTTTGATGGACAGTTAAAGATTATTAAAATTTGAAGAAGTGAAGAAATTCAAATTACCCAGCAACAAGCCTCAGTTGATCCTCATACCGTTGTTTGTTCCTCCCTTTCCTAGCTACCAAAGACCCCATAACTCTCTTTCTCTCTGCGAGACTGCAACATCACAAAAACAAACAAAAATTACAAAAAAGTAATAATAATAAAATAAAAAAACGAAAAAAAAACAAAAACAAAAACAAAATCCCATTCAAACATGATTATATGCAAAGTAGACGAAGTCAAAATCCCATTCAAACATGATTATATGCAAAGTAGACGAAGTACCCTTGACTAGAGGGGCAATCTAGAGCTGCATTCGATGTGGGACAAAATCACCAAAGCTTGATTATCCGAAGAACAAAAAAATGGACAAAAGGAGGGCATGAAAGAATGTCATGGCCCGAGGATTCAATAGTGGGGAAAGCAGTCAACAACGGCAACGGCTACCAACACTGAACCTTTACAAAAAGAAAGATTGGGTAAGAATTTTAAACAGAAGGAAATGCTAGGTTGCTCATTTCACAGAAATTGTGCAAAGGAAGGGGACTAAATCAACGGGAAACCCCCAGCTTTTAGAAGTTACTAAAATTCAAAACTCTGACTTTTTTCCATTGGGAGGGAGGAAAATCATTGTGGGTTTTTTTTTCTCTGGTTTTATGAAAGGTTTCCTTCTTCGGTTTCGATTTTTATAAACGTAAATGTGTGAACCCGGGGTTTGATGATCGGGCTCGGAACGGACAACTTTTGGCCTTTGTTTTTTTAGTTGTTCTGATGCACATGCTAACGTCTGATATTGTTCTGTCCTACTCGGACTCCGTACTCTATCCAACACTCAACTTCAAGACTTTCGTTGACTTATCTTTTTTCTAGTTTGGTGCATGCTGTATGAATTACATATTTTTTATTTTTTATTTTAAAATAATAAATATTTTTTAATTTAATTTTTAAATTACAAATTAAAAAATAATTTTATATTTATTTATTTTATCTTTAAAAAATAAATAAAATTTATTTTAATTAAAAAATAAATAATTAAATTAAGAGATAATTATAAAATTAAAATAAAAAAATATTACTCTCTTAAAATAAAAAATTATTATTATTTTAAAATAAATTCTAAATGAAAGAAATGTCTATTGTTTTAAAATGGAGTAAATGTTAGTTTGAAAAAAGTAAAAAATAAAATAAAATAAAATTTTTTAACTAATCAATTATAAAATTTTTAAATATTCAAATAGTATTGATCAGACAATTCTCTCTTTTCCTTAGTTTTATTTTCTACAAATCAAACATATTTATTATTAACATCATCACATGCTGTAATTATCTCCCTTCCCCCCATCTAATGTGATCTCTTTTCTGTTTTTTTACCTTTTGAAAAAATACAGGAAAATGTAATTGTAATTTCTCCCCTAGTTATGGGTAGGCTCTCTTTAAACAAGTTTTTTTTCACATAGGTTCTTATCTAAATATTTAAATTTATTATTTTTAATTAATTTTAATTAATCTATATATTATATAATATTTTTTAATTTAAGGTGTTCAAAATTAATTATTTACCTTTTTATTTTAAAATATCATTTAATGTGTTTATTTTTCTTTTAGTCTTATTTTTAAAAAATAATTACAACAAATATTATAATTAGCATAAATTTTAATAATTTACTAATTTTAATTAACAATTTATATATTTTTATTAATTTTAATTCATATTTTATATATTAAAAACAAAAAACAAAAAAACCAAGAAAAACACGCAGTTCAGAACCCCAAAAAAAGCCTATAAACTGTTTTGACTTTTGAGACACTTCTAAATTTAATTTCTCATCATTTGCCATTATAAATTCATCAAGATCTGATGTTGTACAATAAAAATCTATCTTGAATTACAAAGATCATTGCGATTTTAATTTTGTTGTCAAAACTACGTAGGATTTGGAGGCTTCGTAATAAAAAGGATATCTTCATTGGTGCTTAAAACCAAGGTCGTTGATTTGAAGGTAAAATTGGTATATTATATTGTAAATATTGTATTGGATCAAATACTGACCGTACCAATTGAAATTCAGAGTATCATCTTATATATAAATAACACATAAATAGAAAAAGTCAAAAGGAAAAAAGAAAAAAAAAGAAAAAAAAGTTTAAAGGTAAAATGTAACTTAAAATATAATTTTGGCTATACCCAAATAAAACAAGAAAATGAAAAGAGAACTTGAAAAATGTGAATTTTCTTTAAAACCTAATAATATAGAGTATAAAAGAAAGGTTAGTCATAGCAATTCTTAAAAAATTACATAAACCTCTTAAATAATAAATACAAAACTTTAGTGAGAAATTAAGAGAGTTTTAAAAAGAGAGAAAAGGAGCAATGCGTTTTCTATTATTAATGGTTAAAGTATTGGGGGGATTTTGGTCTTCTAAAAAATAAATGGAAGGTGGGGCTACATGTGGTGATTTTAAGTCCACTTATTATAACAAATTAATTATAGTTTATTCTCTTTTTAGTATTATATAAATGTTATGATGTATGATTATATTTATAAGTATTACTATAAAAGTTTATATTTAATTTATAAAAATATATATTTTTAGTAGTGATTTTGAAATAATACATGATATTATTTAATATATGGTACGTATCGTACCAACAGCCATGATAAGAAGATTGATATTTTGAGATGGAGAATTTGTTACAAAACTTATATTTTTTTATACAAATTAAATTTGTATCTAAAATTTAAATTTTTGTTACCAATTCTACCTTTACAAAATACTTATTTTTTGTAGTGAGCAAAACTAATACAGATATTGAGATAGTATTGATAACCTTACTCAAAACTCTCGCGGAAGAAATTTGACAGTGGATTGTATAGATCTACTGTGGTTTATGTTGAAAGATCGAATGATGGTCAAAGGACTAGTGATTAGTGGCCCTTTCACGCTTTTGAATTTCAAATTGTTATGATGTCAAGTGTATTGTAATAATGTAATTAACCTTCAAGAGGAAGGAGGATAGTTAAGAATTGCACTTCTTGCTAGTTATTCTTTAGTAATATTTATTATTCAGGTTATTTTATACTTTAAGAGATCTATCAATTGTAGCATATAAGAATTATGGGCTACAAGTTTGTCTCCATATGAGGTAAAGATTATTTTGTAATCATTTTACCCCCTTTGATTCATATAAGTCTTCGCCCATTCTTTCTCAAAAAATCTACTTTGAATTGGGTATCAAAAATCTACTTTGAATTGAAGATAATAAAAAAAAAATCTACTTTAAAATGTTTCTTTCAACCTTAGGGTTACATCCCTAGCTAATATATATTTCAACTACATTGTCTTCAACAATATTAGGCTGCCCTAACACTTTGCTTTCTTGAATTTTTCATCAATTCTTTAGACTTCAGATAATCCTTCGTCAACTTTGGGTATCGGATTGCTTGGTTCTTCACAATAAAAAAACGCACGTCACTATAATACTTCTAGGGCGTGCTAGGTTTGAATTTTTCATATATATATATATATATATATGTAAAAGATAATAATGTCTATCAATTTTATTTTTAAAAATTAAAAAAAAATTATTTCAAAATTATATTATTTTAATAAATTTTTATTAAAAAAATTAAATTATCTTATATTTAAAATATGTATTAAAATTTTTTTTTTCTTCTTAATTTTTAAAAAATAAAAGAACAAGCACTGACTGTGTATATAAAAAAATCAAAATTTAAAACTTAGCCGAATAGTACGGAAAAAATTTCTTCGCACAAATCCCTATGCACGTATCCCTATGAAACAATATAATTAACTACAATGGATATAAGTAAATTTTTTTTGTGCGTTAAAAGTTAATATAATTGAGGATTTTTATCTTATATTCTTATAATATAAATTAAAAATGTAATAAATATATTTTTTTATAATTAATTTATATTAAAAATTATAAAAATTAACACATTTTAATATCATTTATATGTGAATAATTTTAGTTAATTAACTAATTAAATTAATATTTATATTTATATTTTTAAAAAAATTAATTATAAAAAAAATATTTAATGCACTCTTATGTTGTGCCTTAAGAATACTATAATCAATATATTTAAAGATAAGTAATTATTAAACTTGAAAATTTTTTTTCTAAGATATATTTTGGGAAACTATAACTACTTTTAAGTCATTATAATTGATTATATTTTTAGCTCTGAAAAATTACTTTCCAAGTTATGGTAAAGTCATAAATAGCTCAGTTTCCCCAAATTCATTTTTTTGTTTTTTTTTTGAAAGTAGCTGAAACCAAACACCCCACTAATGTCATAAATTTGACCCCTATCGATTACCACCTTTCCTACAAAATATCTACCCGAGATGTCTCCACTGCCAAAAAATCATTTTGAATGACGACATTGTCCTGGATTAAATCCATGCTTTCAAAACTCTAATATGCAAATTGTTGGGAATTTGTCACACATCAAGTTCAATCAATGAAAAACATCACTACAAAATTATGTAAATAGATTAAATAATAAAAAATAACGCTTAATTTAATGAAAAAAATACTCCAAATGAGAGAAAAATCACGGAGAAAGATAAAAAAATATACTATTAAAAATTTATAATATTAAAAATTCAATCTTAATTTCCTCTTTAGGAACTCTAAATTTCTTTCAAGAATCCTCCCTTAATCTTGTATTCTCTCTCACACACATAAAAGCTTTCAATAACCTATAAAAAATTCTCATTAAACACCAATGGCTCAATAGTTTTTCTCAACAATTTAATTAGATAGAAAAATCTCAATATCTTGATGCCAATAGTGGAGGTAGTCTCTCCTCACCCCTTAGAGGTGAATTATGACTACACCACTCCACTTCATTCAGTGTCCAACACATAGTTCCAGGATTGCTAATAAAATATACTTAAAGTTATAAATATCAGAGTTTAGTTAGTAGTAAAAGTCATAATTACACTCTAAATATTCTACACGCCACAACAAGATTTTCTGCTTACAGGGTTGTAAGAAGTGCCAGCACCTTTCTAAGGTGCTGGAACCTTTGTTTCTATTGCACACTGCCCTTTCGCTCTTTTTCTTTTCTTTTTTCTCGTTATTCCTCCTTTGAAACTACGGTTCTCCCTTTCTTGAATTCAAAGCAATAATCCCAACAGACATTACATCTCATAGCAACTTATTATTTTCCATTCATCTTCAAAGTACTCAATAAGCATAGAGTTAGCATTCTATTTATTTCCTATTTTTATTTTGTAATGTAATTACCAGCTTCTTGTATGAGACAATATCCTTCTATTTATTTTGCTTTCCTTCCTTTCTCTTATTTACATATATTAAAATGCATAAAAGAAATTAAAACAAAACTTAAAAGGGGAAGTTCCTCCTTCACCTTCAATTTTTTATCCAAAAAAAAAAAAAAATTATTCTCCTCCCCTTATCACCCTTCGAACCAAATAACCTTTAGGACATAAAATTCACAATTGCCACATTGCGTGCGGTGGTGAAGCCATGATATTTTATTAGGGGTTGAACTAAAAACTTTTATCAAGAATTGGTGTGTATATGAGTCACTTAAAAAGTCGACATAGGGAAAATATTTTGATAACAAAATTATAATAAACAAAATTAGTTAATCTTTGCTAATAAAAAAATCAGTAGGTTTTTAACGATGAATTGAATGTGATCAATA